ATCTAGATCATTTGATAAGTATGCTCAGTTCCTTTGGGCCCGAAGGGGATCCGGTTCTAAAAAGAATAACCACATTAGAAGAATTAACGAATCTCATCTTTTTTTATGGACAAATTAACGAATCTCCTAACTTGCATGAAAAATAAAATAAAGTAAATACGTATAAACAGGGCAAGTGGTAAAGTGAGACGCTAAAGACTTAAGTTCTAACATGCAGACATAATAATTACCGCTCGCCACCATTAAATAAGTTAGAGAAGTGTAGATTCATGTCTCCAAATCAACTTCATCCAATTTACGAGACATTTTTCAGTATGTGGGATTACAATCTAGTATATTAAGTATCATAATACAATTAATTGATTTTTTCCTTCAAGTTTTCAATTAATTATATTATTGTACTTGATATACTGATCCCGTATTCCCGACACGCTGAAAAATCTCTCTAATTTTAGGTAACCTTCATTCTCTTGATTGCTTAGTCCAAGCTCCACTTTCAAGATTCTGAAAATATTAGTCAGCCTCACCCTCATCTTCGGCTTGGATTGTCTGCCCTCTCCATCACATACCATTCACATGCCCTCCTATATTATGTGATCACGGTTAAGTCACGTCAACATTTTATATTGATTTTTTATATAAATAATAAGACAAAAAGTAATGGAAATATAAAATGTTGATGTGGTTTAACCGTGACCACATAAATAGGAGGACAACAGAAGAGTATGAAATGAGAAGGGCAAACAATCCAAGTCGCCCATCTTCATACAAAAAGTACGTGATTGTAAATTTGATAATAAATTCAGTTATATAAACTCGCATGCAAAAAGTATACCTTGTTAGGGATGAGGATCCTCTCTGGATCCTCTTGTGAGGATTTATGAATAAATTCATCTTAGTTATTCATTGTACATCGTACATCCAGTTTTCGTTAGGTACCGATTGTGTTCAATTTTAAATAAAAATTCAAAATAATTTTTGACCGCATGATAACTAGTAAACGGATATAATAAACTGATACTTATGGTCCTCACAAAAAACATCCAGATAGAATCGTGTTCCCCCTTGTTAGAGCACAATTAGTATGACACATCACGAGACCTCATTTGAATTTATTATCAATTTGCACAAACTTAAGAATTTAAATGCGTCTCATTTTTCATTACTTCTGTGGTGATTTATTAAAACTAATTAATAATATGTGATTCATTGCAACACGACTGCTCATGTATAATAATAAAAACGGAGTGATATAGAGCACGCGTAGCTGTTGGTGGCCAATGGATGGATATATCATTCTCACGGTAATTCTGAATGTTATTTTCATGTCATGAACGCTCTCGTCGGAGGCCACCTCCAAACTAAAGGTGTAGTCAAGTTCTTGGATATGAAATCTCCTGTAAACCCTTAGGCTACGAAGTAAGTATGGAGAGAAGAAAGGATAAATAAGGAAGACACTAAACATTATTGCTTTTGGGAGGATAGTTGAGTAACCTGAAGAGTCTTGTTCTATCAGCCAACAAAGGGCTCAGAAATCATAAAAATCCACTGAAAACTCTAGGCAAATTATATCTTACGAATCTAAGAAATGTTCATAACGAATAACTACTTAGAAAACTGAATTATAATTCTTAAATAAGATAAGTTTAGAAAAATATCTTATACAAGATTAAAAATTGATTTTAATCTCTAAATTCTATTTAATGTCAACATATATATTCAATATCTCTCTTTTTTATTTATAAATTTATGGTGTTCATAAATTAAATTTTATGAAATATAATAAATTTTAATTCTCATTATGGTAAGTATCTTATATAAGAAGTTTTTTTTTTGTAGAGATTTTTTGGTACACTTATGTTTTTGCATATTTTTTATGTGCCATTAATTTAGGGTTCATTTGGATGTGCTTTTAAAATGACTAAAAACGTTTTTGGTGAAAATGTTTTTGAAACTAATTCTTAGTAAAAATCCAATTGAATTCTGAAAAGCAGTTTAAGTGCTTCTTGGAATAAGCACATATTTGGTGCTTCTTCCAAAAAACACTTAAAGTGCTTTTGGAATCCAAAATCAATTCCACCGAAAGAATTTCTAGTAATTTTAAAAGTACTTCCAAACGAGTCATTATTACAATATATTGAGGTACCGACATTTCGGTACACTAGTTTAGTATAATATATTTTGGTACCGACATTTCGGTACACTAGTTTAGTATCATATATTTAGGTACGGAATTTTCGGTACACTTATGTTTTTACATATTTTCTTATATTCTACTTCATTACAATATATTTAGGTATGAACATTTTGGTACACTAATTTAGTAAAATATATCATGATACATTTAGGTACACGAATTAGAGAAAGTTAAACAAAATTAATGAATTAAAATGTGTATAATAATAAATTTAAAATTTAATGTAATGACATTAAATAAGATGTAACATCCCACATTGACCAACAGAGAGAGGGTGATGTGCCTTATATGTACATGCCCACCTCCATATAGCACAAAACATTTTGAAAACTCATTGGTTTCAGATTCAATCGGAACTCTGAAGTTAAACAAGTTCGAGCGAGAGCAATCCTAGGATGGATGATCAACTGGGAAGTTATCGTCTGAGTTCTCATAAACAAAACCGTGATGGCGTGGTCGGGACCCAAAGCGGACAATATTGTGCTACGACGAGGCTGATTTGGGATATGACATAAGATATCTATTAAATATTAAAAACAAAATAATAATATGAAATTGAATTAAATACATATTAAAGGACTAAAATCAATATTCAATCTAACACTAGATTTTTATTAAAATTTAATCTTCTTCAAAGATTAAAGTTCAAAAACCCCACAGCTAATATGTACAAGGTCGAATTAGTTGGTAAACATGTTCATGAGAGAGTTTTGGATCCCGATATCATAAAACACAAAGTTTGATTACTCTATCCATAAATTTCTAATGTACGCACTTAGAAGAAATAAAAATAAACAAAAATTAAAAGAAAGTAGACCTTTTTTTATTCTTTCCCAAAATGTTAAAATAGAAATTTTGATTATTAATGATGTCAATTCACCCTGTTGCCACTCTTCCCTAGCAAACAAATTATTTAACCCATTAATGTCATTGATCTACTAAAAAATATTTGATTAATTAATTAATTCCAATCCTTTTTTACATTTTTTTGCTTGCCTTATTACAAACAACATTCGTACTCTAAGGGTGCGTTTGTTGAACCGGACTATCTCGGACTGGACTAGCTGCATGGACTAAGTTGGATTGGCTTAGACTAGACTAAGCTGGACTAACTTAATGAAGCGTTTAATGCAGTGTCGGACTAATTTATGGACTAAAATTATTTTAGAGCCCAAAATATTTTTTTAATCTATATGAATTAATATTTTATTATTACTTATAATTTCAAGAATCATCTCGTGTATACCTCCTTTGTTCTCTCCGCCCACTTCATCCCTCCTCCGCCTCATCTTCTTTCTATACCTCCATTTTTCTCTCCGCCCACTGCATCCCTCCCATCTGCCTCTTTTCTCCTTCATTTTCTCTGTACCAATGTCTCCATCCCCTTCTTTTCTTCTCCCATTTCACCTCTGTACCACTGTCCCCTCTCTTCTCCCTTTGTATTTATTTTGTTTCGCCTCAAAGGAAACGCCTGGTGCGGGAGCTGAAGCAGCAGAGTAGCGGAGATCGTTCATGGATCCTAAGTCCTTCAAGCGGAGATCAGGTGTTATTTCGTGAAGCAAAAAGGGGAAATCTGGGTTGTGGGTTCGTCGCGAAGCAAATTAGGGATTGGGTTCGCAAGATGATGGAGATCAGTGAGAAAGTAGGATTTTGGTGACTAGGTTTGCGGGATGATGGAGATAGGCAAGAAAGAAAGATTTTGATGACTGGTGAGACGTTGGTAGTGAAGACGGGATTAGCAATCCCCTAGTTTGTAGAGGTTCTCGCTAAGAACAGCTAGCGAAGGACTTAGTAGGCACGAGTCCGACTTAGTCCCATTAAACTTAATCCCTTTCCGCACCAAACATGGACTTATAAGCCAGTCCAATCCAGTGAATCCTAAGGAAGCCAAACAAACGCATCCTAAGTGACTAATTAATCATCTTCACTTGTAAGTAAGAGGATTTAAGTTCGATTCTTGTAAAAAATGAGTCTGAATTAAATTATTGCTAACCTATTGTGAGGATAAGTCCATCTCATCTCCCTTAATGTAGATAATATTGTTTGTTAAAAAAAAGTGACAAATTAAGAACACGAAGATGATTTGAACACATAACACAATTAAAAAACTATTATACTTGATGTACAGAGCTGTGTTACCAATATTTTTTTTTGTTAGAATGAGTGTTAAAATAAGGGAGTTTTAACGAAAAGTCCACGGTACTGTTCACTTTAACGAAAAACCACATTTTTACATTAAAAAGTTAAACCTGGTACTATTCACTCTACATTTTATTTTGTTCTTATTATTAAAACTCAAAATTTTTAAGGTTTTTTCTTAGGTTTCTTTAAAATAAAGGAGGAAAAATCTCCTGCCCACGCAAGTTTTGCTCATAGGTTGTGCAACTTTTTCCCTAAGAGCAACTCCAGCGGATGCTGGTTGCTCGGGCGACAGGGGAGGAGAAAGGGCCTGAGGGCCGGTGGGAGCAGCTCCAGCTGGGGAAGGGCCCGACTGAGGGTGGGAGGCCGAGCGAAGGGGGGGGGTGGGAAGTCGACGGGCCTGGCCCGAGGGCTTTGTAATATTTTTTTTTTGTGTCAGAGAGACAGAGACAGAGAGAGAGGTTTTTTATTATTTAAACAAACAAAAAAATTATTATTTTAATTGCTTATTGACATGAGGAGGATTCCAAGGGTGGAGATGTAAATGACAATTATTGTTTATTAATGGTAGTTACTATTCATTTATGGCAGTTACCGTTTAATAGGGTGAATTGAATAGTGAATTGCCAGGAATGGCTAATAGGTTGAATTGTTCTGAGAGAGAAAAAAAGATAAATTGATGATTAAATGGCGTTGGAACTGTCAAAATTCCAGGAAAAGCAAAGTGTTTATACTCAGTTCCTCCTCCTCTGCAGCAAAAGAAGATGTTGTTTCAGGTGGGAGGCCAAGGGACTCGCCCCACCTTCTTCGAGATGGCGGCGGCTCAGCAGCTCCCCGTCAGTCTCCGCGCCGCCCTGACCTATTCCGTCGGCGTAAGTTCATTTCCTTCCTTTCACTGAACTTCGATTGATTGTTCCTCTCTGGGTTTTGGTGGGATGCTGCAAAGATTCGATCTTTTAATCTTCTGTTAATTAAATTTAGTTAAGTTAATGTCGAATTAATTTTTACAAAACCACAGGTATTAGCTTTACGAAGACCCTTCTTCCACAGGGTTCTGGACTACTAGGATGAGTTCTTCTCCTTGCTCATGCTCGTCCTCGAAACTCATAGCCTACGAACTACAGGCACGTTTTCGGAACTCCGACTCTTCAATCGATCAGTGGCTGCTCTCTTCTGTTCTGTTGTCACTTTGTTCAGGAATTGATTTTGTTTCCTGGGTTCTGTTTGTTTTTTCTGCTGATGCTTCGTTTTCTGAATCGCTGTACGGGTTGAGAAGGAGGGCCGTGAAGATAAAAGCTTGACTGAACCCGGCTGATGAAATTTAGCATTCTGGCTTAAAGAAGCGCCAGAGACTTCTTTCGGTTTTGTTTTTGGTACTGCCTCTCCTCCTGCTCATTCTGTTTATCAATTTGATAGAACAGTTATTTATTTATTTTTTCGCACAAATGTTTGATGAAATAGTTCTAGGAACGTTTCTGAAGTACTGGAGCAATTGGTTTTTAGACATGTGGTCGCTTATCGTTTGTAGGAACGACAATCTTAGGTCTGCAGTAGTTGTGAGTTTTTTGTATCTTTTCTGAGGGGCAATAGATTTACTGCTCAAAAGGAAAGCAAATGTTTTAGATTGTTGGACATGTGAGATTATTTTAGAAGTTTCCGTTTCGAACTTCATTCATCAGAAATCATCCAATTTTTTTCAACATAGTGCTATGTCGGTTTCTTTTTACTTTCACCTCTAGCTATATGAAGGAGAAATGATTTCTGAACCAATATGTATCAGGTTGTGTTGCCTTATTTTAAGTCAAAATTGCATTCAATTTACAATAGAGAAAGGGAAGCCCGAGTTCAAGCAAGTTTATGGGGACACGTTGATGAAAGATTTGATGATGCTGACACATTTGATAGAGGAGAGGATGCTGTTGTTTCACGGGGAACTTCAGATATGGCAGTATCAGTTAGGACCCGTTTAACAAAAAAGATCCAGAAATTTATAGGTGCTTGCTACCCATTGCTGCATGCTGGTTGTGAAGGTATGTGCATCTTTCTACATGGGCAATATTTGTAAAAGAATGACTTTCGAATTTGTGAGGATACATATGCCATTCATAAAACAATAGTAGAAACTGATGCAAGTTACTTAATTTGTGTAATTATTTGAATCTATAATCAGAATATTAGTACTTGCAGGCATTTTCTTATACAATAGGTCATGTTGACGTGGTTGTTAACCTTTAATGTAATGGAAGATATGTATCTACAGTCCCCTTGATGTGTAGTGTTCCGTGTAGTTTTTTCAATGTGTGATATATTACATCTTCTAAGTGAATCCATATGGTGATGAGTGTTGAGAAGTACTATATATCCTTTATCCGTGTTAACTTTAACCGTACCTCTGAGTAGATAATACATTCTAACCTAGAACTGATGATGCAGGATTCTCATTCGCTTATCAGATGTTATACTTGTTGGATGCACCTGGATTCCATTCCTTAGGATTACATGTGCTTGGGATTCATGTCTGTCGAGCTACAGGGCAAGAGCTGGTATATTGTGGCAAAGTTTTCTTTTGGATCCCTTGTATTTATCGTATTTATCTTTTTTATATTTTAAGGGCATTTAGTCAGGGGGTTCTGTGTTACTTTATACTTTTATAAGGTGAATGTTACATTTAAGAGAGTGATAGAAGGACTTTCGATAGTTAACCTGGTCATGAGTCATGATATTTTTTTTTTCTGTGCATATAATTCAGTAGTTGAATTACAATTTTTTGGTGTCAAGGTAGATGGATACGTCTTCTAGAATGTCAAAAACAAGAATCCGTGAACGTGAGAGACTTCGTGGCCCTCCATGGTTGAAGGTATAATTTCATCTGGTTAGTTTGATTTTTAGTCATATTAATTTGAAACTTGGAAACATAAGCTATTAATTTGCCTTACATATACAAGTAGTCTGCTATGTAAATTGGTTTGTTTAGTGACACTCCACGAGAAAGAAAGGAATCTATATAAAATTATGAAGGAGTTCTGTTTTGGATTGACTTGGGTTGTTGTTTCCCTTTTCTTGTGGACGGAGAAGCAAGTGATGACGAAAATGTGTTCGAGGAAGAACAGGTGGTGGCGCGCGGTGTACAGGAGAGTTTTTGTTTGACTTGTTAGGAGCGAGAGCAGAGGCTGGAGATAGACAAAAATTCTCAAAATTCAAACTCATAAAATAAGTGGGTTTGCGAGTATTACCATCACTTGAGTATGGTCAACAAATATTGCAATAATGGGGCTCTGTTTTGTCTCTCTCCAGAAAAAGGTGTTTCTCTAACATAAGACCCATTTTGATTGATAACAGGCCAAGGCGGTAAAAGCTAGACACGTGGCGGTTACCGGTACGGAACGGTCCAAATAAATCTTGCAATTAACCCACTAAACTCTATAGTGAAAGTTATTTGCATGAAGAAAGCTTGAAGCTTGCGCCATAGCTGATATCGTAGTGCAGCAAAACTGAAGGCCACAACCCAGGTTGGTTCAACATCTCACCTCCTCTAGCTAAGGGATTTTTTTTTTCCTGAAAAAATTGGAAATGTACCTTCCCTGATCGCCATGGCACATTAGGGTTTTATCGTTTTTCTTTCTCCATTTTCGTGCAGCGTCTGTATTGCAGAAGTTAGGGTTTCTATTTCTATTTTGTTTTGTTGCAGAGACGCCAACTATGAATGAACCGGAGTTGAAGCAGAGGAATCTGTTCCTGCAGTGGAAGCATCTCTTGGACCACATTGACTCGCTACAGACCCGGTTCAAAGAGCTCCATGACCGCTTTTACTCGGAGCGGAGCTCGAGAAGGGGTTGGAGTCCAAAGTTCTGAACTTTCACTCGGAAATGGAGGCCAAAGTTTGGAACTTTCTCTTGGAAATGGAGTCCAAAGTTGGAACTTTCACTCATAAATGGAGTCCAAATCTCGGGAGTTATTTGAAATCGAGATATTGGTTAAAGAGAATAGAAGGGAGGTTATTGGTAAGGAGAAATGGTTATTGGAAACTAAGGAATTTTTTAGGGGGAAGGACCCTCCCAAAATCAGTCTGGATATACATGGAACGACTATCATAGTTGCTATCATGATAAACACAGTGTACATGGCCTCTGACTCACGAACAACAGCAAGTCTTAATGACACAGAAACAATGACATGTCATGAAACCAAAAAGGTTCGGCTAATACTCAAAGACCCACATGTTCTAGTGGCTCTTGCCGGTGACCTTGGGCATGCGGTTGAAGTCATTGATGAGCTCGAACTGGAAGCTCAACTTCCAGGTCATTTCACAATAGAAAGGTTCGTTGACCGTGCCCGTAGATTTATCGTTGGAAAAAAATCATGGAAATATTTTGAGATTTTCATTTGTGTTGCTGGAAAAGTGAGTTTTAATTTAATTTTCCTGTTTAATGCATAACTCACTTTCAAAGTTTCAATAAGGATATTATCTTATAATATTTGTTAATATTCAGGGACGTTATATGATATTCTATCCTGAAATCCAACATCTTAAGGACTGCTGAAACCGTGTTTGTCGTTGTCCATGGACATCTGAAATGACATGTTTCAGGATGGACAAATGACTGTTTAGTATGGGTTCTGAGATCGGATTGCAATGCATTTGTTATTAGAACAAATACCATAGAAGGGGAACGGAATTGGGTTATGATCATATCCTCAGCAGCTTTATCATCGGACTGCGCAGAAAACAAGTTATGTTTCAAGCCTTATTTGAAGCTGGTATACAAGGTGGTGGTAGCACTGGTCCACCCTCTAGGGTTAATACGATAATCAACGGACAAGTTGATTATCAACAACTTAATTTCATCCCTCTGTACCAATGATATTGGGATCAGAGAGCAGAGCGAGAAGGGATACAATATGTTTGTCATGTATCCAACTATTTTAGAAGGCTTCAACCGTGGACATGTTATATATAAAGATTCGCTGTGAGTATTTATTGTTAATCATTTATGTGAACGGTATTCTTTTAATGTTTCTTTTGATGCTTCTTTTAATGCCCACGGATGCCGTTCCTTTAATGCAGGATGCGCTTCGATAAAGTGATGAATAGAGGATTTCGGTTACCATTATCAAGGTTGATACTGGACCTTATGTGTTAACAACTTATAAAGTTTTCGATGAATAATTATGACGAGAAACCTTATGCCTTACAAGCTTTGAAGAGTTCAATTCTCAAAACTTTTAGAGGAAGAAAAAGTTGAGATCTTATGAGTTGGTTGTCAATTTAGGTACAGAGGTTTGGAAAAAAGATTTAGATGCCTGTCATTGCAACAAACAATGGATGGGGTAATACGTGCAACAATCTTTATTGGAAAGCCTTTTTTGCAATTTTTTAGTGCTTTGGAGGAAGTCTATGACTTCAATAGTGAAGAGCCCCCCACGCATGTCTATATTGGCTTGAGAGAGATGTTGTTGACTCTTGGGCAATGTACTCACCGCAAAAGTTATACAACATCTCTCTCAAGCCACTATAGACATGCGTGGGAGGCTCTTCACTATTAAAGTCATAGACTTCCTCCAAATCACTAAAAAATTGCAAAGAAGGCTTTCCAATAAAGATTGTTGCACGTATTACCCCATCCATTGTTTGTTGTAATGATGGGCATCTAAATTTTTTTTCCAAACCTCTACCTAAATTGGCAACCAACTCATAATATCTCAATTTTTTTCCTCTAAAAGTTCTGAGAGTTGAACTCTATAAAGCTTGTAGGGCATAAAGTTTCTCGTCATAATTATTCATCGAAAACTTTATAAATTGTAACACATAAGGTCCAGTATCATCCTTGATAGTGGCTAACCGAAATCCCCTATTCATCACTTTATCGAAGCGCATCCTGCATTGAAGGAACGACATTGTCGTTCGCATAATTGATTAACAATAAATACTCACGGCGAATCTTTATATATAACATGTTCACGGTTGAAGCCTTCCAAATAGTTGGACGCATGACAAACAGATTGTATCCCTTATCGCTCTGCTCTTTGATCCCACTGTGTCCTTGGTACAGAGGGATGAAATTCAGTTGATGATAATCAACTTGTCCGTTGATTATCATAACAACCCTGAAGGGTGGACCAGTGCTACCACCAGCTTCAAAAAAGGCTTGAAACATATCTTCTTATGTGTGCGGTCCGATGATAAAGCTGCCGAGGATATGACCAGAACCCAATTTCATTCCCCTTATATGGTATTTGTTCTAAAAAAAATGCATTGCAGTCCGACCCCCAAAACCCATACTAAACAGTCCATCCTGAAACATGCCATTTCAGATGTCCATGGACAACGACAAACACGGTTTCGACAGTCCTTAAGATGTTGGATTTCTGGATAGAATATCATATAACGTCCATGAATATTAACAAATATTATAAGAAACTATCATTATTGAAACTTTGAAAGTGAGTTTTGGATTAAACAAGAAAATTAAATTAAAACTCACTTTTCCAATGAAAATCTCAAAATATTTCCATGATTTTTTTTCGACAATAAATCTACGGGCACGGTCAACGAACATTTCTATTGTGAAATGATCCGGAAGTTGAGCTCATCAATGACTTCAACCACATGCTCAAGGTCACCAGCAAGAGCCACTAGAACAGGTGGTTCTTTGAGTATTAGCTGGGATGCTAGGGTAGCGTTGACTGGCAAAACAAATAAATATTGTATCGTGGGGAAACCGTAGGTAGTCTGGGAAATGAAAGGAGGAATGTTCTATCTTGATTATTTGTTGTTTTACTGTATCCTACATCCTTTACCAAGAAAGAAGAATTCCTCTTTCGGGTTTTCGCCATTAACGAGTTAATTTCTGTCCGTTTATCAGTTGAAATTTGCAGTATGTAATTAGTTAAACACTAAACTAAGATAATGCAAGAAAAATTTATGTGAAAAATAGTAGAATTACATAAAATCTGGCAGACAACCTTCAAAATTACATGAATATATCACATTTCCAAAGCTCTCTCCAATTTTGCCTTAAATGGAGTGGACTTCCATTCCACTTTCTGATCCTGCACAATCAAACCGCATTTCATCAAGGTTCGAATCCCCTTCCCGTAATTTAGAGTAGTTTAGTAAATTATCGAGTGGATGAAAGGAAATATCAGTTCGAGCAAATCTCTTACCTGTCTATGTTGCCCTGTTGATTTTGGCCTTCCTCTGCAAGAAGAGCCTGAGTCCGAATCCATGGCCTGTCCGGTGCGACTCCAGTAGCTCCCAACAGTACCAATGATCGGCATTTCCTCGGGACTCGGGCTTCGTAACCCTTTTTTCGGTGTAGAAGAAGCCGACAACTGCTTTAGCTCTTCAGTTGTCCAAGCTCCCAGAATTGGCCTATCTTCACGGCTTCCGGGTGACTTAAACTCGTTCCCCACAGAATTATTAGTACTTGCATTTGACTGTGGTGTGGTCTCAGACTCAACCAGCCAGCTCGAAAGGCTCGTGTCTACGCAAGAAGACGACTTTGTCCTCGGCCTTGCGGAGAGTTTTGGCAGCTTCGAAGCAGGCTCCGGACTAAAGTGTAATTTCAAATCCTGCTCCTCCACCTCCATGTTTATGTTCTCCTTCTCTTGGTGCTGCTGTTTTGAAGCTTCTGTTGGAGTTGACTTTCCGGTGACCTCCTCCTTCCATTGAGCAAGATTTTCAATGGGGTTCGATACCGCCTGCAGGTGAAATCTCTGTCTCCTGTAATCTATTCTGCCATTTTGATGATTTGGCATTCGACTATTCACCTCCTTCTCATCTGTTCCAGCATCATCACAAACTTCTTGTTTTCGAGAATCAATTGATAGCGAAAACAAGGACTCGGAAGACTCTTCTTCAACAAAGATTTGCTTGCTACTTTCAAACACATCAGCATTAGCACAATCATCATCTTCATCCTCACTGTTTTCGCAATTTTTGTGTCGATGATTCAACGGATGAGTTGATGGTGATACCATACTTGATACAATCAAATCCGGTTCGAACCCTTTTCGCGCTTCCTCTTCATTCTCCATCTCATCATAAATTTCCACCAGTACATTGGAGACTTCTTCCTTGGTGGGTGTTTCTTCATCATTTGCCTCGACATTCAAATCAAATGTGACTTTCTTTTTGTCACCATTCTTTGATTGTTCTTCAATCTCCTCTCTAAATACACATTAATGAACAAATATAAATTATAAACAACATAAAACCCGTAAATCCAACGGAGAAGATTCTCTGGAAAACCAAACAAAATCAAGATCCAAGCTTTGACAATGGATTTCTTACACTGATTCTTTGCTGGGTTTAATGGCTTCTATAAATTCTTCTAGCTTTGTGGGTTCAGCTTCAGCAGGTTGGATTTGAACAGCTTCTTCAGCAACTTCAATGCTCTGTGGAAAATTAATCTCAGATGGGTAAAGATCTAAAGTAACAAAATGGAAATGGCAGTAAAAATCACAGGAAAGAAGAAACTTTGTGGGCTTACTTGGTGTTTAAAGGGGTTTACAGTGACTGATTTTTTGAGCTTTCGGCGCTTACAAGTAGAGAAGCACTTTGGAAAGCACCCCATGAATGATTGTCGACTTTTACAGCTGACTTCTTTCGGATGCCTTTTGCTTCGGAAAGAGAGAGAGAGAGAGAGAGAGAGAGAGAGAGAGAGAGAGAGAGAGAGAGAGGACTGAGGACGCAACGGTCAAGAGCGTTTGAAGACGAAGAATCCGAAAGCTTGAAAATATGACCGTTGAGATTTTGTCTTTGGGCTTCTTTCTTAAGGAAAGTTGGTTTGGGTGGGCTGGGAAGGAGAGAGAGAATTTACTAAAATGATTGTGACCCGGCCCAAGACATTGGTAAATGGAAAAGTATTGTAGCTATCTAGAGTTAAGTATCCTTAGGATGAGTAATTAGGCTATGCTATATAATGGACATCCATAATAATTCGATATAAAATCCGTCGTTTACGAAAATTGAATTGATTTTTTTTGTTTACAAATAAAGATGAATACAGTCAAATCGTAATAATAACTAGACTTTGACCATTTAAAAAAAAAAGTATATTTGAAAATTGTTTTGGATGGTCACAATAAGTTAACTATTTATTGTAGGTGGCTCTCTAACACATTGGTGGAGAGGAATGTTGCCCTTATACCATGTCATGGGTTCAAACTTCGTCAGTTTCCTAATCTAACAAATCTATCTTTTGACAGAAGAAAAAAAAACCTATTTATTAATTTTTAACATAAAAACCTAAGATTGAGGTGCAATCACTATTAAATCCTCTCCAAAAATAGAAACAAAACATGGATAATTTCCTGGTTAAAAATTTTGAGAGAACGTGTGACACCATATTGTAAGCAGAAGTGGGCTGAAATGCCTTGAGCTTTTTTAGATCCCATTAAGGATTATCCCTACCTTCGAATATGAAAAGTCTAACTTTTTTTTTAGTACATCAATATTTTTACACTAAGGGTAGGGGAAGTTAGGCTAAGTTGCACAATAGGTAGCCTAATTTGGTATCGAGTTCTCTATCCACAAGATTCGAACCTAAAACATTTCACTTCCAAGTGAAGATAGATGAATATTAACAAACCGTAGTACTGAATGACAAGTCTAACTTTCTTTTTAATCGAACAATTATCTTAGTGGACCCAAATAAGACATCAAAATTGAACCTTACAAAGCATTACCAAACAAAATCACAAAATAAAGTTAAAAAACGTGTATCACTGTGACAAGTGACAAGGAAAGTAGAGTAGAAATATCCCTAATATAACACCCGTAACCAATAAAATCTTAGTTTCCGAAAACGGATATTCACAAAATGTTGTTGTCTTCAATCTTTCTCTCCAATAATTTCATGAAATGATCCCTTCACAATAAACGCACTCAACCCTATGATTAATTAGTTGAATAAATTGAAACCCGTCTAGCATTTCTTAATCTATTTCTTTAATCTACATTTAGCACACAACGACATGTATTGTCTTTCACAAATGAAATTAAATTCTAACAAATAAATAATAAAATACAAAAGAAAAGGACGTAAAAGATGAATTTTCAGCTATATATTATCATCTAGAAGGTGATAATTATGTGCATATATAAGTTAAAAGCTCTGTCACTAGTTACATACGGTTAATTTAGTGATATTTTCTATATTATAGATCATTTTTAGAGGAGATGTAAAAACGTCAATTATGACTATAAGAAATTAAGTTGTTCTCGAAAGAGATGTCATATATGACGTGGTATTTGAGCTATTTGATTTCTTGTTTTCTAGCTCTTTTTTTTTAGAGCAAACAAAAATGAAGTCAAATGTTTTTAATTTAACTTTTTAATGCATGAGTCCCATTAACAAGCAATACGATGAAAACTTATATCAATTTTAGTTATTTTTAATAGTAATCGATGTATTGGGCCCAATATATTAATAAAGTAAATATTTAACATATTTATTGAAAAGAAATAAGATTTAACTCTATATTTAATTGGCCACATCACCAATCAAATACAATTTTGACATATTATATTTGCTTTAAGTGTGTGGTCTCAAGCTTAGCTTTCATAAATATCATTCCGATATTAGTTATGATTAACTATTGCGTAGCTGCCTGAATTTCTGTTTTCTGAATATTGTTGAGATCAATAGTTCGACTCTCCATCCATTATTATGTCATAAGGACATCACTCGTCTAATAATGTTTACGGTGTGTTCAAGGGATAAACCACTTGTCTAATTAAAATCTTCCACGTAGTAAATTAATAACAAGAAAGTATCTTTCTTTATTTTTGAGCCAAAGTATCTTTCAACGGATTTGATAACTGAACTAGAAGTTTAGTCAAGAACTAGAAAGAAAGAAAAAAAAGCAGCATAAAAAGTGAAGGGGTTTGGTATTTGATCAACTGGGTTCCTGCCATGTGTCAACTCTTCCGAGCATACCCTCTCTGCACCATCATCAACTGCACAAAAATCTTAACAAGATCGAGTGGATGGATGTCTGCGGTTGTTCGGAGAGGATGATGTGTCTGTTTCCTTCTCGAGTAACCCCACCTGGTCAGCTCCCCCACCATTGCCACACAGTCCTCCCTCCCTCTCTCTCTCTCTCTCTCTCTCTCTCTCTCTTTCTCTCTGAAAGTTTCTGTCTTCTCTTGGCTTTGCTGAGATACCCTTTGGATTTCTGGTGGTAATATTTATCTAGCAAAACCCACCAAACCTTTAAGTTGATAGAAATAGATGGTTGAGATTTGACAATTTTTGTGATTTATGAAAATCTCATACACAAAACTAGAACGTTCTTATTTGTTTTAAAGAAAAGATAATTAAAAGTTAAATTGCTTCATGTGATTGCAGTAATGAGAGTTAGTTGGCACCACAAGAATTTCTGGTGAAAAAAAGGGCTTCAGATTTTCTATTAGTTTCTTTGATCCTTGGAGGTGAAGAAAAAAATAAATAACAAAAATGGAGCCATTAAATCAGAAGTCAGTGGAGAGAGCTGTTTCACAGAAGGCTTTGCAAATGGGGAGTTCATTTCCATGTCAAGTTTGTGTGGTGGGTTTTCTGTGTGGAGTTTGCCTCACTTCTCTGTTTCTTGCTGCTCTCACTTCCTTTGGTACTTTTGAGTTTGGAGGCTTTTCGTTTTCGGCGATTTCTGAAGGTGCTTCAGCGGGGAATTCAAGCTCAGAGTTGTTCATCAGTGAGTCAAGTTTCCTCATAAACTCTTCAATTTCTTGGTCATTTCTGCTTTTTAATTTACCTTTGAGATGTATAATTTGCCAACATTAATGAGTTTTGGTGTTTTTAATTCGAGCGATATTCTAATTTAATCTAAATTGTGATGAATATATTTTAACTTGGGTGCACAAGTCATTCGAGCAATCTTTTAATTTAATCTAAACTACGAGGAGGATATTTGAACTTGAGTGTAGACAGAGAGCACGTTGCTCAATCCAACTTGGCTTCATCTAGGTCCGTGTGAGTTTGGGAAGTTCATATAGTTGTTAATGAGGTCTAATTAATTAAAATAGGGTGGAAAATCAGGGTGAGAAGGCAGGGAAGTGAATAATTGAAAGGTGTATTCAAGCTACTTTAGAATAATTTCTTCTCCATGAACACATTTCTTATGTGACCCTGGAGGTTAGTTCCAAACACAATGTCAGATTTCAGTCACTTAACAAGTAATGGCAGCTTCGTAACTTAGAGGCTGAATCGAGGTGGGTGCGCGCTCGTCTAGATATAAAGAACAATGCTTTCGATCAATGGCATCCGTTAAGTAGTTTAACGACGAATTAGAACGATTTGCAAGAGACTAATTTTATGGTTTTGAATTTAAAGATGTGGTTACAGGCACAAACTGCAGCTCAAGAAGGCAAATCAGAACCGCGAAAAAAGTTAATTCGCTGAGAAGTGAAGAAATGATCAATGACGAGAGGGTCTCATTACTCTATTCAGCTTGGAGTGCTTTACTAAGTGAATCAGATTCCGAAGAAAGTGACAACTTGCAGAGACTTGGAGTAAGCAGATCCGGCGTGCCAAATGCTCCTCATTTGGAAAACTGCAAGTTGAAAACACAAGTAAACGAGCGCCTTGATAAGCATGCGGAGAACGAGAAATATCCTCCTTGGACGAGTTGGAAGGGATTGTTGGACATGTACCCTGCAGCTGCAACTAATGAGCAGTCGAGATACTTTAGGCATCAAGATATATCCGAAGGTGGTTATGCTCCCTGGGTACGTGTCTAGGTCTTGAAATCCCATAACTATTTATCACTGTAGAACAAGAATTTGGAAAGATTAGTATATAAGTCAATGCAATGTTGCATATATACATATGCATTTAATCGTTTGTTAGTTCGTGAGGTAAGAAGATATTGTGTTTTGCAATTGTTCACTAATAAGCAAGCTTCGGCAGATTACAGGGTCCGATGAAGAAAACTATCCCTTGACGCGGAAAGTGCAACGAGACATATGGATGCATCAGCATCCTTTGAACTGCAGCGATCCTAGAGTAAAATTTCTTGTTGCTGACTGGGAAAGATTACCAGGATTTGGCATGGGAGCGCAGATCACGGGAATGTGTGGGCTCTTAGCCGTTGCAATCAACGAAAGCAGGGTCCTCGTAACCAACTACTACAATCGAGCTGACCATGATGATTGTAAAGGTGAATATCACATCTCATCTCAATGTTGTTGACCATTTTCATACTTATATAACTTTGTATACAGGAGTTCGAAACATCAAAATAGACTTTCGTTCTTAGAACCAAGTGTGGATGATAAGTTCCATGTGTTACAGGTTCGTCCCGGTCCAGTTGGTCTTGCTACTTCTTTCCAGAAACATCCCTACAATGTCGAAATCGTGCTTTTGAGCTTATGGGAAGTGAAGAAGCCTGGAAAAAAGGCACCGTTACAACGAAAGAAAGTTATAATACAAAGCAAATATGGTCTGGACCTACACCCAAGTAATTATTTGCATCTCTAACCATTCGTTCAGTTCTTCTGCTAGTAACTAGCAGCATATGTTTTTTCTGTTTTTCTGTTCTTCTCATGTCGCTTGTCAAACATTTAATGCAGAACATGGGGCGATCCGTGGAGTCATATGCAACCAACGACAGAAATAAATGGGAGTTTGGTTGCTTATCATCGGAAAATGAATCTGAGATGGTGGAGAGCACAGGTAGTCTATATGGATCTTCTGTAAATGTATTAATATCTTTGCTTCCAAGTACGCTATATTCATGAAAGAAAAGAAGGTTTGATCGTAAATTGTTAACGTTATGCCAGGCAGTACGATACTTGATGAGATTTCAAACCGAGTACACATGCGGCTTATTGAATGTTGCTCGCCATACTGCATTCGGAAAGGAAGCTGCCCGTATGGTCGTCAGAAGTTTCGACGGAAAATGGCCTGAGGTTTGTTACTTTTATCCCTTCTGCAACACAACGGCTTCTGAGTGTAATGAGGTCTCGATTTGTAGATTTTGGAACACACCGAATTAGTAGTACTTTACACAGATTATGCAAATCGAATCTTCTCAAACGATAATGCTTTATAACGTGTTTTGTTGCAGGATGTTACAATCCACGAAAGGTCTGATATCGAAGAATTTGTTTGGTCGAGTCACAAGCCGTGGATGCCTAGGCCGCTACTCAGCATGCATGTAAGAATGGGAGACAAAGCGTGCGAAATGACGGTAGTGGAATTCGAAGAATACATGGTTCTTGCTGGCCGCATTAGAAAGCGCTTCCCGCAGCTTAAGAGCGTTTGGCTCTCCACCGAAATGCAGGTTTAGTTTTCTGGCATTAACATCATATCTCCGAATAGATTTAGGAGCGAAGGATCGTGTTTAAACCTAACGTTAGCAATCTTCCAGGAAGTCATCGACAAATCGCAAAGTTACAGTCACTGGGAGTTCTACTACACGAACGTGACACGCCAAGTTGGGAACTCGTCAATGGCCGCTTACGAAACGAGTCTTGGAAGGGAGACGAGCACGAACTATCCAATTGTTAACTTCTTGATGGCAAGTGAAGCTGACTTTTTCATTGGAGCATTGGGTTCAAGTTGGTGCTACCTTATAGACGGAATGAGAAACACCGGAGGGAAAGTTATGGCCGGATATTTGAGCGTCAACAAGGACCGATTCTGGTAGAAAATTCGTGTAAACTACCAGCAATGCAGATAGATGTGTAAATCATTAGCTCAACAACTGTGTTGTCTGTATATCATAAGGCCGGCAGCCCCTCCTACGACTACACCCCCCTCTCCCGTCTTATCAATTGGTGTATATTCCAAAGAGATGTATGTACTTTCTATTGAATCTTTAGAAAGTAAGCATTTTCATACATTATTTAGCACAAACCATACAGAACTGAAACAGATGATGGTCTTGGCCACAATGACAAGCACAAGAAAATACCAACCACAGAAAAAAAAAAACTTGAAAATCGATAAGAAAACAACTTGGATACAAAGATTGATGTGAACTCGAAATTAGAACAAGAGATACTATCAGAAAAAGGAGAGTCGGTTCCTCTCCGATTTCACAGCACATAGCAATACAATATTGAAGAAGATGCATATATTCTTCTTCTAAATCAACAATTAAGAGCCCAAAACGTATCAGGTAAGACTTTCGGGATAGAATCCAAAGTGAAGAATAAAAGTCAGGAGCACACAAGAAAGGGCTGTACCTCATTTTTATCCCACGAAATCCCTCTTAGAGGTAGCGTAGCAGTAATTGATGCAAAACTATTCTTCGACATTCTCGCTTGCCTGATGTCCTGCATCACCGGGCTTGGCTGTTGCATGTCTCCTGTGTTTCTTGCTCTTGGCTTTCTTGGCTTTCATGCGGCGTTTTTTCTCATTGGCATCAACCCAGGTATAGTCCGATGGTATGAGGAAAGGGTCAATCTCATCCTTATACCGGTGGCTATCACTGTCACTTGATTGCCCACCACGACTTCCTCTCACCCACGACATCCATGACGAGGATCCTTCTGAGTCCTTTGACTTTGAATCCTGAAAATGTGCAGGACTGGAGAGAGGGGTTGAGAACTCCTCCGCTGGCTGAAGCTCCTCAAATTTGGTAAATGTTACAAGAACTCGTATTGTTGGGACAATCGGAATAGCAACCTGTGGTAGGGAATGCAACATTACAAAGGGTAAACCTAAAAAGTACAGGATGTCAATCTTTTAGATAAAACTGAACGGTGAGAACCAAAAACACACACATACAAATTTTGAAAAAACAAGATTCTAAAAAGAACCCTCCCCAATCACTGAGAGATTTCACCCAGAATATATTTAATTACCAAATATCAAGAATATTATTTGGCAGAAATTCAAGGATTTGAGGCAAATAAGTTGAATTTTGTTTATGAAATATATATTTCAATCAGGTGACATAATATAGTAACTGGATAGCCAGACCAAATCAATATCAAAATTGCATAAACAATCAAACAGTGGAAAACATATTGAAAAATAGTCGATCAAGGTAGAACTTTCGTATTACCTTGACAGGAAAAGTGCCAGGGGGCAATTTAGTAGTCAAAAGCTCCCTGAGTCTCCTTATAGCCTTGACCTTGTTTGCTAAGATGTCTAGTAAAGGAAGAAGCTCATCTGTTTTTAACGGGAAATCTGGCGTCAACCACAAGACAGGTCTCAAACCCTTTTTGTACTCACTCTCATGCTTAGAATCAGTCGACCCTTTCTTCTTTTTCTTCTTACTGCTTTTATCTTTTCCCTTTTTCGCATCTGCAATATCGTCTTTAGGAAATTCAGATGACGGTTTTTGATGATCAAGTGACTTCTGGTTCCCACCTTCTGGGGCCAACTTCGAGAACTTCTTCAAAAGCTTTGGATCTTCGGAATCATCGTTTCCCTTTGAATTTTTCTTGTTCCAACCAAACCAACCCTTCTTGTCCTTAACAACACCGTTGGATTCAAAGTTCTCATACAAGCCTACTGAACCCTTTTCATGACAGTCAGAGTCTCCATTGTCCTCGTCCTCACAAGCGCCATCTGAGTTCCCCACAAGAAATGCAGAATCCAACTGCCTTTTTTCTTCAGCAGTCAATACATCGTCATATTCATCATTATCACCACCATTTGCCACCTTTTCTTCGTCGCCCACTGCAAAGAGTTCCTCGTCAGTCATAGCACCTGGAACCCTCCTTGACTTCACACTCACCATCACGTGAAGCATATCATAAACTTTGGCTTTCCAATTTCCAACCATCTCAGTCCTCTCCTGTCGCCTCCAATTCAAATGGGGGATAAGCTCAGCCTGAGTAACATCAATGCCGGGCCTAAACATATTCGTCTGTGACATTAAGGCCACTTCATGGGCAACTTCAGCTTCAGTTGGTTGGGCACCAGCTCCTTCCAAAGCATTTGTGATTTCTTTCTCCTTATGTGCAAGAACAATCAAAGAACCGGGTGCCAAATTCACATTACCATCCTCTGAAGAGTACCCCTCTCCAAGAAACAGAAATGTTTGATCAGACCTTTGAATGCGAAACCCATCAAAACCAGCAAGGGTCATGTCAGCTCGGAGATTAGAACCGCGCTTCCAAATTCGGTAAGTATCTGATGGAGCAATTCGACCAATAAACGGGATGACTGAGCTCTCAAAATGAAAAGTTATCTCCATATAAAAATCACGAATCCGGGACGTAGAGGCAACAATACGGGGAAGTCTACGACACCATTTGGCCCAAGCAAGGGGCTGGTAGTGCCGTGCAATAATCATAGCAATTGCTTCCTCTCTAGTGCAGACAGCTTCTTGGAGAGCACTCCAACCATTCTCATTTTGAAGACTCCAATCAGCACCAGCCGCCATCAAAATCTCTGCGGAGCTTGGGTCCCGGAGACGCACAGCTAGATGAAGAGGAGTCTCACGACCAGGAACATCTCGGCGATCAATGACAGCAGATACAGCATCAGCTCGGAGCTCAGCCTCAAGAGATTCATCTTCGGTGCTTACTTCACTGGCCTTGGCAAGCCGAGGGAGGGTAGAAATAATACGCTTGAGAGTGGCATAGTCACGGCATGCAACCGCCAAATGAGCTGGACTGTGGGAATATTTGGAAATATCTTCCACTGATTCTACAGATTTAACTGTTCTCTCATTTCCTAAGCTATTGCTGCTTTCACTCTTCATTTTCGGAACTCAAATTCAAAATAATTGTGCTCAAATCTTCAAGTTCACCATTCCAAGAACAACAAACCAGGCCTAGGGTTTCACGCCAACAAAATCTACCAAATTAGGATTTTTGTTTTACCAGTGTTTTAACTCCATGAATTCCCAATCCCGAAACTTCAATAAAAATCAAATCAGACTACGTTTTTTAACTCACCATTGCTAAAGCTTTAAGCATTTTCGCAGCTCAATCTACGAATCCAAGCTATACCAGTTGATCTTGAGGTCCATCATAGCACATAAAAGCTACCAGAAAGCCTCAAATCTGTATAACAAACAAATGATAAAACTTTTTAGCTCAAACCATCACAGAATAACAAGCAAGCCTTTGTACAAATGAAGCAAAAATTTATCATCTATGCCCCAATAACCGAAATTCAAAATCACAACTTTCGGATAGCTAACTTAATTGTATCTACGTTCTCACAAATACCAAAACCTAAAAAAGTCCCAAAATTTCAATTCCATTTGTTTCATTTTCTTTCACTCCCTCAACTTTCCGAGCAACCAAACAGAAAGTAACTTTCTTTCTCCTTTCCCTCTCTAAAAGATAGAGCAAGCAGCCTCAAATCTGTAAACCCAAATTCAAAATCACAACTTTCAAATACCTAACTTAATTATCCACATTTTCCAGCATACCCACCTAAAAAAAGACCCAGAATTTCAATTCCATCTCTCCCATTTTCTTTCACTCCTCTCAACTTTCCCACCAACCAAATAGAAAACAACTCTCTCTCTCTCTCTCTCTCTCTCTCTCTCTCTCTCTCTCTCTCTCTCAGAAACAGAAACAAGAAAGGAAGAAAATACCTGAGAGAAAACACAAGAAATCGATTGGGTTTCCAAGCCAAGCAAAGCTCTTTCTCCTTACCCTCTGCTAAGCTCTTTCTCCTTTCCAAGTCAAGCTAAGCTCTTTCTTCACCCTTTGTGGGCTCCAAAATTGAGCTGCAGAAGGGGAGAGAGAGAGATGAAGGAGAGAGAGAAAAGAGATGGAGGGTTAATCGGACGGCTGGTGTGGGATTTCAGATGTGGGATCTAACAGTCAGGATCATATTATTATCCCTTCTTCTTGTTCTCGGTTCAGGTGTATTATTAGCTTTGAAAGTTCAACTCGGTGCAGAGAGGATGTGACCCAACTCGGTCCCTGACTCAGTCCCCCACCTCAGAATTCAGATCTCTCTCTCTCTGTCTCTCTGTATTTCCAGGTTGAGTCTCTTCACTTTTGCTTTTTCTCTCTGTCACAGTTTTAGAGCGCCATTAAATAACTGCCTCCCCTTTTGCAGTAAATCACTTTCCTTGCCATTCTTGGTGAATTTCTTCTTTATATTTTAATTATTACGATTTTACCATGTTATTATATGTGGTTAGGTAAGTTTAAGGTAACACTTTTAAGTCGAGGTGTGCTGTCCAACATCCCTTGTTAATTTAAGTATTTTAAACTTCTTTAATTCAGTCGATCCCACTGCAGTAAATTAAAATAGTGTTAAAAGTAAAAAGAGATGTGCTATCATTGCGAGCTTGTTTGGAAGTGTTTTTTAAATGACAAAAACGTTTATTTTTTTAACAAACGATATTATCTATAATAAGGGGATGAAGAAGTGGGGTAAGCCTCACAATATGCAAGAAATAACGTGGTTCATATTTGTTTTTTATGAGAATTGAACCTAAAATCTCTTACTTACAAGTGAAGATGAATATTACTAGAATATAGTACTAAGTGGCGACTAAAAACGTTTTTGGTGAAAATATTTTGAAATCAATCTTTAATTAAAATGTAAGTGAATTTTGAATCACTTAAAAACTTCGTGCAAGAAACAAATAGCTGATGCTTCCCGTAAGAAGCACTTCTATTCCTAATATATATATATATATATATATATATATATATATATATATATATATATATATATATATATATATATATATATATATTATTCTTGTATTGTAATATGAGATAAGGTACAACGTTTTTATGTGGTTTGTTTTGGTACTACAAAATGATGGATGGTTTGATTATAACCCAAGGATAATGAAAAAACAATTTAGACCTCTCAATCATAACCAATTATCTTACATTTTATATCAAATCATGTAATCAACACATTAAGGATACATAAGGTATCCTCATGTAGACTAATTCTCGTTACAATATAGCTCCAATAACACATGTGCACAACCTCAGATTTTACGATACGCCAAAGTATAGTTGGTGGTCTCAGAGGTTGAGTCTGTAGGAGTTCAAACTCAGGCTGGAGTTTTCAAACCTTTGCTCACTTTTCTTGGGTTTGCAATCAACACATTGAATGGTTGTGATTATTTGTTTTCTAAGGAAAGTCATATTTTATTTATTACAAGCGATATTTCTATCACAAAAATAAATAAAAAATTTATTTTATTTTATTTATAAGTAGTAATTGTACTGTAAGCTAGACTAAGAAGTATTTTTACTGCAAGTAGCCCTTTAACATAGTAGTGGAAAAATGTTGAACCCTTATATGACTGCGTGGATTCAAACTCCGTCTCTGACTAATCTAACAAAATCTATTGTTTGACCAAAAAAAAAAATCAAAATGCACGGAGATGAAGAAGAAAATACTATCCACTAGAACAATCTACTACTTACTTAATGAGTGGTTTTGGCTGCAAAAATTAATAAAACAAGAATTAATAGGCCAAGAAATAAGGGACTTGTTTTATTATCTTCCACACCTATGTACACTAGAACGTATAAAAGATATTTTAAAATTTTGGAAGATTTTATATAATTCTATACTCATTTAAGTTTTTGGCTCTTAAAAGGACCACCGACGGTTTGCTATGTTATAGTTGCCATCTTAGTTATTTTCAAGAGATTGCATCGCCAACTTATTTTAATGAGGAATTTAGGAGGACGAGCTAATCCATTCCTCACGTGAAATTTGATTGGCTGGCTACTTTAAAAATGGCATCCCAATTCTTTTCATTGGCAGCCAATAAGTAATTTTGAGTTAGTTTGGTTATAAAATAATTTTAATTTATTTCTCGTTGGAAGAATTAATGCTTAATTAGAGAAAATAATCACATATTACATGCGTGTGTATACATATGTATCTTTATTATGTACTATTATAAACAAAATAACTAATTAATCATGTGACCGTAATGTCAGAAATTTAACGTAAATAAATAAATATAATATATGGCATTTGTATATGTGAGAATTTTCGAACACAGGAAACTTTAAATTTAATTCTATGCCATGACATTTACCTTCAAAATGACAGTTTCATTTGTAAGAATATTTGCTAAACAAATAAAGAGAATTTCTTTTGCCTTAGCTTCTTGTGTGTATAGACTTGATATTCTATTCATCTTTTATGCACTTTTTTTAACGCAAAAAACTGTTCCTATTTTAGTTTTGATTTTTGTACTTTATTATTAAGGTTTTAGCCCTTTGGGACCATAATATATATGGAACCTTTAAGGGAAGATATATCTATATTTTTATAAAAATGAAGATTAGTTGTGGGGTCTACATTACATCAAATTTTAACGATCGAAACCGTCTATTTTTTAAATTGCACTTTGTTAGTACCATATTATATTGGGCCTCGTTAATTGGGCTTCCAGACATTGAGCCTATTATTTATGTAAAAGGGGATGAGCCCTTAGTCTATTAAAGGGCCTCCTCACCCTCACAATTGGAAGGTCTCATCCTTACATATAGAAGCCACAAGGCTCGCAAACAGAGAAACTCTCCCAAACTCTCTTTTTCTCTAGGGGACTCCCCTTCACACTTGTAATCCATACATTCGTACAGAGAAATACAATCAACATTAGTGTGGACGTAGCCCAAACATTGGGGTGAACCACGATATATCTTGTATTCTTTACTTTTTTGCAGATTCACGGTCGGATTTACGTTGTTTCAAGATCCCTCCGATTTTGTGCATCAACACACTTCATAGATCATCATTGTAAAATATTAGTTAAATCGGAAATGTTTAAGACATCTAATTAAATTCAAAGAAATTAACTAATACTTTGTTATATAAGAAACAATAAAATTTTATTTTGATCATTAAATAGGCAAATAGTTTCAGATTGAATTAAATTTTTGCAAGGATAATCTATGAATCGAGACTTAAAAAATATACGATTCAGATCGTTGAAGTTCGATATGGAGTGGGCCCCACATCTAATCCTCATTTTTTGAAAAAATTGAGGATTCTTTTGTATAAAGGGCATGTGTGTGTATATATGTATGTATCTATGTATCTATGTATGTGAGGCCAGGCCGCATGATTTCATTGCTAGTGGATACATGCATGTCCCTTCATGTTCCTCAACTACTTCTGTACAAACTCTCTGAGTCTATGGGGTGCCATAGCTACTACTGCTATCCCTTTTTTTTTTCTGTGCTCGTACATGCATTGCCCTCTCTAAACCAGCCATGCATGCATGCCGCACGGTGGTGATATAATACGTACATTATATAATCCCCGTCAGTGGTAACTAACTAAATCTATACATCCTTTCCTTTTTTATCTTTGAGAGTGAAAGCCCCCACACTTGGCCATGGAAACAAATTAAACTAAAGAAATTGGCACTTACCGATCTGATCTGAATAATCTGATGATCGAGGTCCCCTCCACCTGCAACTGCAAAATTTATATACTTCAATTAATATTCTTAGTTTGGGAAGATAGTAACACATGTATATATATGTACAATTGGTGACAAACAAAATTTTATCTGACTCTAATGGTCATATATATATTTATGAAGTTATACAAGCAACTGTCATTTGGATGCACCATATGCTTTGAGATTAAAATAATAAATATAAATTTATATATAGGAACATGGTATGAATAGTGGACTGATGATATGATGACTACCATCCTACCTATGTTCCTTTGTACGTAAGGTAAAAAGCCATAATTTCTGTTTGTTATTGTACTGATAAACCTTGTAATACAAGTTAAAAATGATAAAACAATAAATTTTTGTTTCCAAATTAATTAGGTTAAAGCTTAGGATGTGTCCTCAATGCTATTTAGTTCTGAGTGCTTTAGTCGTTAAACTTGAGTTTCACAATGACTATATCTTTTATTTTCAATTTTAGTTCCTTTTTTTTTTGTACCACTCAGTGCTACATATAATCAAAGAAAAAAATCGTAAAAATTGATGTATTTTTGTTGGTGTATGGTGGATTGCAAACTTACAATCGTACTCTGATGATTACATGTCTAACTAACGAATAATGATTTAGGAGCTACATAGATTGCATTGGTTGAGTATCAAGGCAATCATATGATCAGCAAGTTCAACTGCATTCTCAACTTCGGCATCAGCTTCGCATGCAGCATCACATCTTTGTGGATGGTCTCCTTGCACTTCAAATAGAAAACTCTTCTTCTCCTGACAGTTCTGATTGGTCTGGTCGCTGCTCCCCAAAGGACAGGACTCTGCCTTATTTTCCAAATGAAAAGCCAAGGGATGAAGCACCCCAACCAGAGCTATGGAGTCTGAAGAGTGCAGTATAATTTGAAACTCATCCAGCACGATTCCAGCATTCTGGAAATTAAAAGAATCATGTAGAATGAAACAATTACAACGTGAATTATATAAACTTACAACAAAGAGAGGGCAGTCCAGTGTCAATGTTTCATATTCCCCTACTTCGCCGCACACGTTAATCCCATACAACCTGCCAAAGAATGGAAGATTAACCAACAGATTTTTGGATTATGCTCAATATACAATCAATGATGGTAATATCGATGTACTGGAGAAATTTTGGTTTAAGGGGGTTGGTCAGAGAAAACAAACATACTCTTTCAACTTATTCAGATAGGGTTGCAAGAATGCTATTCCTTTGCTCAAGTGCTTTTAAGGATCCAACCCCATGGCAGCAACCTACGATATTCAAACAATATTAGACTTCCATCCATAAAGCCCGGAGCCTTAAATTTTTTTGGCAATTACTACAACATAGTAGGCAATTATATATGAAGGGTTCTTACCGGTAAGAAAATGCGTAAATTTTCAGCTCTACTAATGAACGTGTTGTTAGTGGTAAGAACATGTGTAAATTTTCAGCTCTACTAAAAAAAATCAGATTCTGGCGTCTCCATACCGAAGAAGAATGGTGACAAATGTGCCTTTGAGGGTGTTGGAGTTTGAATGAAATTTCAACTCAAATGTGGGGTATTGTTGGAAATTTGAGTAGTTTGAGTAGAAATTTCCTTGTCCCACATTGGCCATTCCC